GCCCGTTCGCAGATAGCAGCGGTATCTGCGGGTCAGGGAGCAGCCGCCCGGCCGGGCAGATAACGGCCCCTCGGGCCTTGGCTCCCAGATAACGCGTTCATCGGGGCAGCAGCCTCTGGGAAGGCGGCTGTGCTTTGGGGAAGGTGGCACGACGCTGTCCACGGCGCACAGCCTGGCGTCTGTGTCGTGCCGCTTTGCCATTTGAGGCTCCTGTGGCCCTTGCGCAGGGTTTCGGCTGCTTAGGCTCGTTTGGTCTGTTGGGACAAGTGCTCAGACCAAAGTTGGTTGCCTAAGGCTACACAGCTCATCGTGGCACAGGCTGAAGGACCATTTTCTTTACACTTGCGGTTGCCTGACTTAACGCTGCTTGTGTCTGAGGAAAGCTCCACTGCTAAGACCTTGGCTCTGCTGCCATCATACACAGGAAAGTTCCTCCTGCGTTTTACTGATTCAAAACCTGTTGCTGGCTCCATGTGCGGACCTGGACTGTTAACTTCTTCTCTCCGTGGAATCATCTAATAGAGCTCTGATCTCGTGCAGCACAAGTATCTCGCATTTCCCTGCAGCGGAGCCTTTCCACAGTGAAAATCCAAAAGTGAAATCCACCTGTCTCTTTACAAAGCTTGCAGCACTAATAAAATGTATATACCTAGAAAAAGCACATAGTACCCTGCAATCTACACTGCACATTGTCAGTGAGTGGCAGCTTGGTGGTTTTGTTCGCTTTTCTGCTACTTTTGCACATATGTGTGAGAGTGTCAGGTTTTGTCCATATTATTAATGACATATCTTTAGCGTTGTCCTTTCAGCAGTGGCCTTTCATTGAGGCGAAACAGGGTGGCCTAAAGTGAGGTAGGTAAGTGCTGTCTGTGCATCAAGAGCTGAGGGGCATAAAGATGCCAGCGTACAGCAATGGGATGTCTGACCGCAGGACAACCACTGCCCTACCACAGCTGAAGGAGCATCCTGACATGTAGCTTGCTCCACTTGCTGTTTTGAGCTGAATAAATTTCCTGCTGTGTCTTGTCAGCGGCACAGCGTGGGGAGGAGAGGGGAGCACTCTGGTCATACTGCACTTTCAAGGGATTCGTGCCTATGAGCTGTTTTGCTTGATGGTGCTTATTTTTAATGCTCATCCTCTTAGAAGGTGTTGTGGTTAGGAGTGACTATCAAAGAAGGCTGAAGACCTGTAGTACTGCATCACTGATGCTCTTTTTGCATGGCTTTTGCTTTCTGCTCCCTTGCAGCTGGCCCGAATTCAGACTGACAGTGTGGTTGAGATGCTCCGTGAGCTGTATCCTGACCTCCACTATGAGATTGGTAAGTCGAGGGTGTTGCCCCGAGGTAGGAGCCAGCTGATTATCTTGGTGTGCAAGACGCGAGTGTGCAGCGCTGTCGCGAGGAGGAGAATTTGCCCCAGCTTATCTCGGAGCCCAGCCCAGTTAGGCTGTGCAGCCCAGCAAGTGCTGCTCCTATCTGCAAGGAGGAAAGAGAGATTTCAGAAACTGCTGGCAGTTGGGGATGTGGGTACCCGGGGTGGATGGCGTTGCCTTCCTACATTTTGAGAACGTGGCATCGATCTGGCTGCCCCCTGGACTGCGTCAGTGTACGCGCTGAAGGTGCTTTCCTGCCTGGGGCTTGTTGTGTTCATCAGCCCAGGAAGATGGGGGAGCCCAGCCTTGCGCTGAAGAAAGCTGCTGTGTGTCTGCCAGCACTCGGAGACGATTTTATCCTGAGCGCGTTCGCACAGCGGTGCGTAACGCTGCGCTGCTGCATGTCACGTGTGACACAGACATTTCTAGTCCAGGCCTCTGTGTGCTCTCGTGCCTTAGTGTTTGCCTGTGCTTTCTCTTGCTGAACAGTTGCCATGTCAACAACAGGAGACAAGATCTTGGATACAGCACTTTCCAAGGTAAAGGAATTTTTCTTCTCTCTAAACGCAGAGAAAAGGCTGTGATGATATACCTGCCAGTGTTTTACTGTGCTTGTGTTCCTTCATGCGTGTTTAGATTGGGGAGAAGAGCCTCTTCACCAAAGAGCTGGAAAACGCGCTCGAAAGAAATGAGTAAGAGCTCAGTGCTTTCCCCCCATTGCCTGTCATATGTGTTATTCTTCAGACATGCTGGACTTCCTGCACAGCTGGTCCAGTTTTCTATGCTTTGAAGTGATATCAGCCAACATCCCAGCTGCATATTGGTTCAGTGAATTTCTCCACCTGTGCTTTTCCAGCATCTTCCCCTGGCTTAACTGGCTTGTTGAAATGTGTCTCCCAGCACTGGTGGGAGGAAGGAATTATGCCAATTTTACAGTGCCAGGGGTGAAATAGGGACAGGGAAAGGTGTGACCATTTGGGTGTTTTGCACTGCTATTGTTTAGTAATTCTGGCTGTAGAATCCTGAAATCCGCCCCCCTGCTTTCTTTTTGTCTTGCTTTGTTCCCCCAAATGAGTTCCCAGTGTGGATTCTTGTCTCTCTGCATTGCCCTCAGGGCTCTGGTAGGTGCATCATAAACCCGACCACCTCTTCAGTACTGTGATTACTGCGCTCTAATTTTCAGAGTTGACCTCGTGGTTCACTCCTTGAAGGACTTGCCGACTTCCCTCCCTCCTGGATTTACCATTGGTGCTGTCTGCAAGTAAGTGGGGACAGAAGGCTTGATTGTCTGAGCAAGCTGCATTTTAAAATGTGGGGAAAATCAACTTCGCAGAATGGGTGAAACAGGAAAGGGGAGCTTGAGCCTGTGAGCGTGCACAAAGTCCGTAGGAGATACTGTTTCCCCTGGTTCTTCAATGAACCTTTCCAGTAAGGATTAAGCATGTCGCAGGCTATGCCTGTCTCTTCCAAGTTTGTTCACCCTCTGATTATTCTCTGAATTGGTGAAGAATGATAGCTATCCCAGACATCTGTGGCCAGCAGACTTGCTGTAAGTGTTTTAAACAAGGATAAAGGGATGTTTTTGGAGCTGGAGTTCTTGTGAGGACTGAGAAAAGACCTGCTGAAGTTTGAAGGGCCTCCTGTTAAATGATGTCTTGGCTAATCTGCTCTTGCATGCTTTTTTTTTTTTTTTTTTTTTTTTTCAGAAGAGAAAACCCACATGATGCTGTTGTCTTTCATCCCAAAAGCATTGGGAAAACACTCAGCCTTCTTCCTGAAAAGAGGTAAGCATGGAGAAGGTGAAGATGATTAGGTGTAGAAAGGTTGTTTGGCCTACCCTCCCTGTGATTCTCTGAGATGGGCGCTTTCTCTGGTTCAAGACACTTCACTAATTTTCTGTGCCTCTATAAAGAGGTTATGGGGCTCTTTTGTTTGAGATGCGTGAATGAAATTACTCATATTAAGCTGTCTGTATTAGAATGGTTTAGTTTTTCTGTATTCAAAACAAAGAAAGCCACATTGTGGCAAATGTAGGTTCACACTTCTCTGCAGCTTGGTAGCTGGAAGATGGTGTTTGGCTTAGGTTGAGGGTACCGAGAAAAGTAATAGCATACATCTCTGGAAAGGACATGTGTGCTGTCCAGAAGTCCAGATATGCAGGCTGTTGTTTCCAAAGGTTGTCCTCTGTCATCTTATGCCATTCAGGCTGCCTCCATTTGGGACAGACGAGTCTGTTCTCCGGCAGCTTTTTGTGGACCGTCAGCGGAGATGACTTGGTTGGCTTTGGTCAAGCTCTTTAAATGAAGTTTCATCAGTCCTTGATGGTGGCTATCAGCTACCCTTCCAGAGGCAGCTCCTGTGAATCAGGCCTTGAGAAGGGTCTTCTAGCTTCAAACAGGCTTTGTACTAAACCTCACCAGATAGTTTTCCTTCCACTGAGAAATATAAACTGTAGGCAGGTTCTCAAGTTCTTTATTCCTATTAGAAATTAAAGGAAAAAAGTAATTTGTTCTCTTGAAACTTCTGATGTATCTTTGGCTGGAGGTAAGTGCTGGAGTGTTCTGGATTTCACCGATTTGATTTTTCCCAACAGTGTAATTGGAACCAGCTCACTCCGGCGAGCAGCCCAGCTCAAAAAGAAGTTCCCTCACTTGGAATTCAGAGATATTGTATCCTTTTCTGGCAAGAAGTAGAAGCCATATAAAGCTGCAAAAAGGAAAATAGAAGGCTGATTCTCATTGCCTGACCTACAAGAACCCCTTTCCCCTGAGGCTGCCCCCTCTCATGTATTCTGAGATGTGTGTGTGATGTTGTGCAATGCACTCAATCCCCTTTCTCCTGAAACCGTAAAGAAAGGGCCTGCCTTCTTCTACCTTTGAAGAGGCAGAAGCATTTGGCATTAAGGAATGTCCTAACACCTGTTTGGTAGGTGCTTACCGCATGTTGGTCGCAGTAGTGGCCAACTGCCATTTGCTCCCCAATACCTTGGAATTACGACTTAGGCCACTGAGCTGGTGGTGAAAGGCAGGAACTAGTAACCCTGGTCTTTGGCTTGCAACATGAGTTGCTGTCAGGAGCCACCGGTGCCCCTTCAGAGATAACGTGGATGTCATTTTAGAGCCCACACTTGAATGAGTATTCCATAGTACTGAGATAAAGACGATGAAACAATTGTCCATGTTTAACGCTTATTTCAGAATGGTGCCATGGCTGCTTCTCATTTGGAGGCTGTAAAGCTCTGTGAATTCTGCAAACGCACACAAGCGAAGGCTTATGGGGCTGTTTGCATGCTGTTTCTTACTTTGCTTAACCACTTGGGCAGAGAGGGAATCTAAACACCCGCTTGAAGAAACTCGATGAGAAAGAAGACTTCAGTGCCATAATCCTGGCTGCTGCCGGGCTGAAGAGAATGGGCTGGGAGGATCGCATTGGCCAGGTAGAGAGGAGCAGGGTGGGAAAGAGCGTTGCCACCGCTTCTTTCGGGCCTAGTGCAGGTCCCATCACAGAGGAGCGTGTAGCCTGCTGAATCCACTTCTGCATTAGCCTGTAGTTCAATTTGTTTCAGGCATTTTTGTTTCTTACAAGAACAAATTTTCTGTGCACCTTTCCGTGATGCAGAGAGGGTTTGTAATCTGATCATCTCCCAGCACTGCATAATACTTGTGTCCAGCAATGCAGCACTAGGCAGACAAGATATTTTAGATAACAAAATAATGAAATGTTGCGATCCAGATGAAGGGAAGTGCATTGTCTCATGTTGGGGATAGAAACACAGAGGCACAGACAGGAGGCCATGTTTCCATGGTCAGGTAGGGGACAGCACACAGTTCAGCGCTAACTTGCTCTGCTCTGAACAGTGCAACCTGAATTAAGTCTGGCTTGGCTTTCTTCCAGATCCTAAGCCCAGAAGATTGCCTCTATGCAGTTGGACAGGTATGTTCCAGCTTTCGGGTCTGAAGCTTTGGTGCGTATTGAAAGCCAGCAGCAGTACAATGCTGAATATTTCCACTGTTTGTTGCCAAAGGCTCTCTTTGTTGTCATCAGTCTCTTTCAGTGCCTGTTAAACTGCTTATGCAAAGCCTGGGGGAGGAACAGGCAGCTCTCTGCTAGCCGGTGCGCTGGAGGCCGAGGCATCATCAGTAATGGGAAAAAAAGTTAGCAGAGGCAGCGTGTGCGATGCCATTGCCAACATCGGGGAGGCCTGGCAGGGCCAGGGCCGAGCGGTGCCAGGCCAACTGCAGACGGGCAGTGCCGTAGCTCTGTGCTGTGACCCCCTCGTCCCTCCTACTCCCCGTATCTGAACTACAGCAGTACGGAGATGAAGCATGTGGCTCGGCGCGCGTTCCCAGTGCGCTTGTTTCTGGGTGGGAAGAGTGTTCCAGCCCCTGCTACCCACCTGGCTGTGTTTACTCACTGTTGTGCTGCGGGTATGGAACGTGCTAAGCATGACACAGTTACATATTAGTGATTGCAAGTGCCTCTACATATGTAGTACAGTTCTCTCCCAGCCTGGATGTGGTATCACTGGACAAACATAAGAGTTGGCATGTTACTTCTGGGTAGAAAAAGGTGGTCTGTGGTGACAGGCCTCCTTTAAAAGGGTCTGAAAATAAAGAAAGGGTCACTTAAGAGGAAGATGCAAAAAAAAAAACAGTCTGAAATAGTGATTTTTATCATGTTAGTCAGGTATTGCACTGTTACTCTTTTTTGTTTGTTTGTTTGTTTGCCTTTTGTGCTGATTCTCAGTTTGGGCAGGAACTGATTTGTTACTCATGCAGCTTGACCTGCATTGCGATAAAAGAGTGACGGAGTTTAGCTCCCTCTGACCTTTCTTGTACCTTAGCGAGAGGACCGTGGGGCAGGCGTTTGTATATGTACAATAGGAATAGGTACTGGCACATTCTGGGGCCAGAAAAGGATGCCTGGTGACAGCATGATTTCGAATACTTGGCCGAGGGAAGTTCCGATCTTCCCTTGGGAGCAGCTTCCATAAGATGTGTTTGCAGCCTGTGCATTGGGGTTTGGGATTGGCGTACGCTCCCCAAGTGCAACGCATCCAAGCCTATGAATTCTGTTTTGTGACCATACTGAGTGCACAGAGATGCATATGCATAAACCTGAGTATTTTTTTCTTTTTATTTCTCCTCTTGCAGGGTGCCTTAGCAGTGGAAGTTCGTGCCAAAGACCAAGAGATACTGAACATGGTATCTGCCCTGCATGATGGAGAAACTGTGCTGTGCTGCATTGCTGAGAGAGCCTTTATGAAGCATTTGGTATGTGTGTCATTGTTGCTTTTGTGCTTGCTTGCTTGCCTCCTGCAGGAGCAGAAATTATGGCTCTGCAAGCATAGAACTGAGAATGTGGTATGGAAAGTCTGTTGCACTTTGTTCAAACTGCCAAATGGACTGTGTATGTAACGACTGAAGAGTGATGTCTAGACTTGTGTACGGCGCACATTTTGCAGAAGCTTCTGCTCTGAATGTGCCAGGTAGGAACGTTGGTGTCAGCTTCTTTCTGTCTTAGGAGGGTGGATGCAGTGTTCCTGTTGCAGTCAACAGCGTGCTGAAAGATGGCCAGGTAAGGAGTACTTTGTATTTTTTTGGTGATTATGCCTGGAAAGAAAAAGTGTGCTCGTGTACGCGTATCTACTGATACTTCCCTGAAGTTAACTCCAGCAGACCTCCTTACAAGCGAGGAGGGCAGACAGGGGCTGATTCAAGGTTTTGAGGTTGGTGTCCAAAGTAGTAGGGCTGAGAATCGATCTGGTCACTGAAGCTCTGCTTGTGAGATAATGCCCTCATAAAAACAGGCTGCTGCTCCTCCTTTAAAAGTAGTGTTACCTTAGGTCTGAGAAAGTCTTATCTGACTCCTGAGAAATCAGTGTTTTTTACACAACACTGTAGCTGTCAAGACAGACAGTTGAGGAAAAATATAAGCCTTTTCTTCAGGAAGGCACATCTTCCCTAATAGGGATTGCTTTCCTTACAGCTTTATCCTATTT